ACTTTCCACTATTGACAGGATGGTCCTGTCAACAGTGCTTTTTTCTGTTATTGACAGGGTGGTCCTGTCAATACTGCAGGTTTTTCCAGTATTGACAGGGTGGTCCTGTCAACAGTGCAAATTTTACACTATTTACAGGACGGTCCTGTCAATATCCACAAGCTTTTAAAAGACTGTTGCAATAATTAAAGTATCTCGTGTGCTGCACTGCATGCTGGGACGGAGGTTCTGTGGACATTTTCATCACTTAAAATCTCACAACTGTAACAGCAAAATAAGTTCATGCAAAACATGTTTCACAATAAACAGCACACACACTTTAGGAATGCAATACAACGTCTTTCATTTTTGTATTTACATGTACAACATTTGGTCGAACAATGTTTAGTACATACAGTACTACAGTATAATGAATTGTAACTGTATAAACCTCCTAACTAAAACTAGATAGCCAGAATGTTCTTAGTAGTTTCTTTATGTCATACTTGTTTTACACGTCTGTAATAGATAACCTCGGAAGTGCTGAAGTTGCTCTTCCTTTGCTAGGTCCTTATCTTTAAAGTGGCATCATAGTATTTTGGAGTGAACATTGAGGAAACAAAACCTTGACTTATTTCTAGAAACATAATAACCAATTTCACAATTAAGTTCTTCGAATTAGCATACCTGCTATTACAAGAAAGACAACCAGTACATTTAATTTAAGTAGTGTAGTACTCTGGACCAAAAGAAGATTTAAACAGATATAATTTTTAATGTTCGTACAGCGAAAGCTATCTCAATACCTTTTGAATATTAATATGAATTCCGGTGTTGTATGGTGGATTCAACTTATTATGCGAAGAAAACCACAGCATTTACTTTGGATCGTTTCGAACTTACATTATAAATAAAAGGGGCCTTGAATTGAATTTAAGGTTAATTTCACAATATTTAGGAAGCTTTTTAACTGAGTCTTTAAATGTTCAAATTGTTGGATATCGAGATTTTAATGTTAAAAATCTGTGACTTGTCAGTATGGTAAATCTACAGTATTAGTACAAAGACCCTTTCATATACAATATTTACACAGGTGTCATTAGCTGACAGTTTGTTTTTTTCATGGATATTAACAAGCAGATGCACTTTTGAGAGAGAATGAAAACAACTACAAAACATAAGAGTCTGAAAGTGTACCCATACCAATGATACGGTCTACGAAAAAATAACACTTTGTTTTGTTAACAGAACCAGAAAAAAATCTGTGCCGTCGTTTCTTGCAGAGTCGACATTGAGTGCACATTTCCGGTTTAGAGCCTCCTCGGGTAATGAATATTGATGACATTTCCTTATTTGGCAACAGCCAATCAGCTTTACCCAAAAGCAAGATTAAGGCAATTCTCTGTGACCACGCCCCCAATAGTAGAAATGTGAACTCAATGCATGATGTTCATTCAACAGACAACTAAGCACAGAATGGTAAAAAAAAGGACAAAACAAGAAACAGCAGTTAAGAGATAACAATCATTTATATTTCTTAATGATAATAATTTTATCTATGTTAGATTCCCATACCTGGAATGGTAAGAAGAGTTTTCTCATTTGCCCTTTCAGTGAATAGAAAAGGTAGTGATTTGCCATTTTTGTGGTCACATTATGAAGGGGAAATCAGGCATTTTAGACTACCAGTAAGCATGCAATCCTTGGTTGCCTTAATTTCTTCATTATCAAACAATATTTCTTACTGACACCAGATTCTGAGACTAGCAAAACTTGCTCTTTCCCACCCATGTTCTATCAACCTAGTTACTCTGTCTGTACAAACAAAACAACAAACCCACAGTTCAGCAACATGTACCTAAAACAATACTTGAGCTGTGCTAGAAAGTGATAATTATATAAAAGAAAATGTGCCCTCCATGTGAAGTATAATATGTGTTAGTATATAAAAAAAACGTTATCTAAAATAACACAAATTTGGTGAAAAGATGCTACAACAGTTGGAAATCGATAGTCTCTTTTTTTAACAAAACGTTCTACTGATATATTACCGGTTAATAACCTAAGGATTTATCTGCTACATCTCAAGCAATACATTGTACAGTAATCTACTATGGCAGGGCTTCTAATTGCAAAATTATGGTAATAGCAATCAGGTTAGGTTCAATTACTACAACATGACATATATGGGCTTGCCTGGTATACATTGTAGCAGTGTCTCACCACACATATTATCATCAGCTTGAAGTAATATTTGCCAAGTGACATAACTACAATGTACCAGTAACAGCTTTACAAGGCTCTGTGTCTGTTACCATTTTTTTCGCTTTCCAATGCACTGTTCCAAATGTTTCAGAAAATAATAGTCTTCATTCCTCCATACCAATAACTGTTTAAGTGGTATACTGTTTGCAAATAGTGGCATCCTTGATGATGAGTTAAGACCCATGCCATCTTGGTTTTCACTGTGTCACTGTCCATCCTTCTTGACAGTTTTCTTCTTCCTTAGGCCACGCAAATTTAATTTGTTGTTTCTCGGATTGCCCTGTCCATTTTTTTCCGATTTGCAAAAAAAACACAAAAAAACTAGGTTCTAAATCAACTGCAAAATGCACAATAAACGACATTCTGGCTCGAACGGTTGAAGAAAGTCCTCTTCTTCCTAGTTGTTAAAGTTTTTTCAATGTAACAATACAACTTTGTTTCATTTCAAGTTCAAAATATATTGTTTTAATTATAAACCAGCCTGGTATGTTCACTTCATGGCTCATATTGTAACATTTCAGGCTATTATGGGTGCCATTGCCTGTTTTTTTTTTTTTTTTCTTTTTCGACCTGTCGCTTAATATTTTTCTGGAAAAACAATCTGAGAAGCAACAAATTAAATTGGTGTGGCCTTACTGGCTTCTGAATTCTCCACATCAACCTTGAACTTCAGGTTGCCCCCCGAAAAATGCACTGTTATGAGTAAACATTTCAGTCTATGTGCCTAAGAAAGCATCAGGTTCAAATCTGCTGTTCTAGGCTAGTTTCTGTTTTATCTGTAACATCAGCATTGTTTGTGACCTCTGGTACTGGATTCCCTTCTGTGCTGGGTTCTGCAACAGTACTGTCAGTAAAGCCTAGCTCTTCTACGTGACATTCCCCTGGGGTGTCTTGTATTGCCTTGGTGGCAAAAGTCTCTATATGTTGTGGACTGTTGCCTGAGACCAGCGAATCATCTGAGAGTGATACAGTGTTTGTTTCAACTTCAGTACAATCCTTATTGGTTGGTTGATTGTCTTCCTGCTCTGTTACATCTGAGTTAACAGTTCCGTCTGTATCTTGCAGTGTTTCCTCCTCTTCTGCAGAACTGGTGTCTCTAGCTGGCTGAGTTTCTTCACGGATTTCTCTAACCGACTCCTTTGCAACATCTTGCTTAAGGCCAACAGTGGGCTCATTTGAAACAATCTCCTTGTTCACAGTCTCTTCACTGATATTCTGTTCAGCGTTGTTCTCGTCTTTCTCTACTTTGATAGTTATTTCTGTGCTGCAGGCTTTAGATGCATCATCTGTTGCAGTACCGCTGTCTCCTGCTATGTGGAGCTCTTCTGGAGTCTGCAGTTCCATCACACTGTCAACCTCCTCTTTCTCAACTTTGACAACTATCCCATCATTGTGTCCTTCAGACGTGTCTTCTGCAGTACTGATTACTTCTGCATGGGGGCGCTCTGAGACAGTGTTGCTGCTGATGTCTGCTGCATCAAGTCCAATGCTGGCCTCCCATTCTTTCTGTTCATCTCTTTCCTCGTTATCACTTTGTTGGTCTTCGTTGTCAGCTGTGGAGGGGTCTTGGAGAGCGGTGAACTTTAAGTTGTCTTCATCGTCAACAGCTATGTCATCATCATCATCATCAACCACAACTATAGGATCTTCTGGTTCCTGTTTTATTGAGCTGAAAACAAATGAAGACATTATCATTATAAAACATACCCTCCACTCACACATGTATGCATTGAATCAAATTCGATTCAATTCTTCTAGAAAGGTACATTTGCATGTGCGGTCAAAATCTGGTCAGACTGCTCTCTGGGAATGAATATGTGACTATATAAATCTTGTCAGGTTCAACCGATTTTTCCAGTTATATATTTTGCAGGGCTCAAAATACTGGGTGCATGTGCACCTTAGTGCACCCAAATTTGGAGCTGTGCACCCAATTTTTTTCTGTGGGTGCACTGGTGCACCCAAACATTTTTGTAGGTATTTTTTCACATATCAAATTATAATAGTATGCAGGATATTCTTACATGGGGCATCTAAGTATCAGAAAAATAACAAAACCTTTGTTGTAGTACTTGTTTACATGTAAGATTTTGAAGTTAGCTCCCATTTCAGATTCAAGCTCAGAAGAGGAGCACTAAGACCTATAATTAGGTTTTGTTTTATATGGTGCACCCCCAAAATGTTTTGTGCACCTAATTTTTTAGGTTGGGTGCATCAGTGCACCTATTCCCAAAAATGAATTTCGAGCACTGATTGTGTCAACAAGTTCTGTTATTATTAGTTCATTTGTGACGCTGAAGAAAAGTGGTGGATGTCACTCAAAACGTCTGGAAATTATCTCCGTAATTAATCCAGTAGTAGAGTTTGAATTTAATATATGAGTATTGTTTTTTTTTTATTCAACAAATGAAAAGAAAAAAAGAAGTGGAACCATCCAACTTGACAACATAAGTCAAATCAAACCAAAGTAACTCAAATTTACATATGGAAGTAGTATGAAATCACAATAAATAGGTATTATGATTTAGTAATACAATATAATTGTATAATAACGAAAGTCAAATCATAAGTCGAATCAACCAAAGTAACTCAATTGCACATATGAAAGTAGTATGAGATCATAATAGATAAATATGATTTTAATTAGTAAATTATATAATATATAAATATAAATATTGTATGACAAAATATACTTTAAACACAAAATCCGCCCCAATTGCCAAGATGGTTCTCCAATTTGTTTTTACTGATTTGTTTATATGAGTATTGTTTACCTGGATGTCTAACTTTCATCAACATAAACTTGGCAATAGTTGGTACAAATTAAGAATCGATGAACATTACTTAAAACAAAACACTTTTGGCGCAGAACTAGATGACATGTATTAAACCCAAACAGAAACTAGAGAAGTAACATTTGCAAAGCAAGTGCATAATGTTTACCTTGGGACATGGTCTGCTCTGTTAATTCTTACTCAAACACATTCACATATACTACTAGTACATGTATATGGTGACAGGAGCAGAACAGACCATGAAATTGCAACATTATGTAACCCAATACCAGTCACCATGGTGACAAACGTCAACATATCATGTCATTGGTCAGGTCAGAGGTCACTGCTTGGAGTAGAAGATGAAGAAGAGGAAGAAACTGAGCAAAAACAATATGTTTTGGCCTAAAGCCAAAAATGAAAATCAATGCGCGCGTGGATGTCATCCATAAAATTACATTGGTGTGGCCTAAACATAAAAAACTGAGAGCCTTACACAGTGTAGGTGTCCTCCTCCGCTTGACTCTGCTGAGGCCCACAGAACTTGATGTGTTGTGTCAGCGGCATGCGTAGGTTAAAGTGCAGGTCACAGTGAGGGCACACAAAGAACCCAGGAGCCATGTCATCTTCCTCCTCTTCTTCTGTCAGGTCCACAAACTCCACACCATCTCTACAGCAACAACACAAGTCGCATGTCATGTCATGTGGTGGAATTGTAACAGTGGGGGGTTTATAGGTGCTACCAACTGACCCGGCCGATGGGTCTAGACCTTTTCGGCCGAGCGGTTAGAGTGTCTGGTTATGAAGTTCTGGTGCCCGGGAGGTTGTGGGTTCGAACCCCGTCCCGGGACCAGTGGGGTTTTTACTGTCTCCTCCTGTTTCTTACAGTGGTTCCCACACCGGCCCTGGGAGTTCTGGCAAAGAGTGCCGCTCCAGGGATATCGAATTCGGAAGATTCGAGGACGAATCTTGAAAAGAAAAGGGGGAGCAGTGTAACAGTGGAGGGTTTATGGGCGCTACCAACAGATTTGGCAAACAGGTCTAGACCTTTTAGCGGAGAGGTTAGAGTGTCTGGTTATGAAGCTCTGGTGCCCGGGAGGTCGTGGGTTTGAACCCCGAGGTCGTGGGTTTGAACCCCGGCCCCGAAGGGTTTTTACTGGATCCTCCTGTTTCTTACAGAATGGTATAGGGTTTGAATCCACTGACATTCCCCTACTTTGTACATGTACATGTATGTTGTGCCCTAGCTAGTAGAGGGATAAATCTCTTTGAGTACTCTAGCGGACAAAAGAGATCTCATCACAAAGACCAAAAGAGAGCTGGGAGAGCTCTGTCCCCATTAGAAAAGACTCCAAAGAGAACTGCTGTAGATTCCTTCTTGACACCTAAGGTTGGACCCCCCTCAGATACAGGCAATTGTTTTGAACAATAGACAATTAAATGGGGATTAGCATCTAAACCTTTACAATGACATAAAAACAACAACATGGCAGCCATGTTTTCACAGGTAATTTTGAAAGAGACTTTTCAAACAATGGGAAATTTACGTAACAAAACAGTCGTAAACAAGAGCTCCGAGATCTCAAACCTCCATGAAATATGGGCTTGATATGTAAATGTAAATTTGTTCTTTAATTACGCAAATGACCTCTGCATTAACATAATATATGCATCGTGATGTTAACTTTTGATTAACTTAAAGATGTCCCAAGTATGACATTCCCATCATTCACCATTGAGAAATCATAGATTTTTTGCATTAATTATGCAAATTAGGTCATCATTTAAATAATTAGTATCTGTTGATGTTCCATCTGCCATAGGTTACATACATTACATGTATGAAAGTTCTATAATGTAAAACACTGTAATTATAGCATTTCCTCATTAATTATGCAATTAAAGTCCTCATTTGCATAATTTGCAGTTAATTATGTACATCTCTCTGTCAGATACCTACACACCAAAAATGATGAAAATACGCTGTTTCTATCTGGACTTATTGGCTTTCAAAGATTTCGCCCGAAGGTCCCCTGCAGTTCCTGAACAAGCTGCTAGGGGGACCAAACCCACACCGCTTATTCCTGACAGGAAAAGCCATCTGTCACCAAAAATTCAAGACCATAGCATGTTCAGGACCAAAGATACAAAAACCGGAAGTTCTGCTGCAGTACCAAGGTCATCCACCAGGAGGCCCATATTTGACCTCGACCTTTGTCTTCCTAAGACTTATCAGCATACCAAATATCATCACAATCCATAAAGGCGTAATGAAGTTATGCTGACTACAAAGTTGCGGAAACACACACAGACACACACACACACAGACGCCGCTAAAAACAATACCTCCATTTTTCATGGAGGTAAAAAGAGACTTGTAAGAGACTGGACGAGATCTGAGATAGCATTTGGGAGAACGATACCTAATCCAAAGAGAACTGGTGAGTACTCAATTGTCCACTAGATAACTCAAAGAGATTTATCCCTCTACTGCTATAGGGAAAGGCACTTTACATGACTTTCCTCACTTCACTCACTTGACAGTTAGAAATAAGTGCCTAGTTTGGTCAGGGACATTAGTCGGACAAGACATTAAATGGAGGTCCTGCTACATGTGGAGGTATAATGCTAAGAGAGGAAATATAGAGTTATAAATCAGATACATTGTATGACTGTTTTGCAGTTCATGTTACAGTCAAAACTACAGTTAGCTCTAAAATGTGAGCAGACCAGACGACTAATACTTCATTTTATTGACTTTTAAAAAAATTTTGCTTTGTTTGTTCATGGAGTTTCACTACAACTATTTGTTGGTTACAGTGTAGGAGGTTATGGTGAAAATGTTTTATTAATATTGTCTTAGCTTTTATACATGTAATAGTGTACAAAATACTTTTTTAAACCAGGTTGCCCAGTGGGCAACCTACGGCAAAAATTAGGTTGCCCATCAGAATTCTAGGTTGCCCCACCTATAAGTTACTACTTTCCTCAAATTTTAGTAGTAATGTTACATACATAAGCCTCTGACAATATTTCTAACAGCCTTTGTTAACTGATACTAGTAATAGCCATTAATACCTAAAATTAAAAAGCATCTGCCGGATACAGTGATGCAAGCCAAGTGGGCATGATTTTAGGGGGGGGGGGAGGATTCTTCAGAATTCAGGTAGCACACTGGGCTACCTAGGTTCAAAAATAGGTTGCCCAAAGTAAAATTTGGTTGCCCGGGGCAACTGGGTACCTAGGTATTTTGCACGCTGCGTAAGGTAATCCTGGGTTTAACATTGATCTTCGATATAAGCGTTATTGCGTATACATACCCTGAAATGTCTGTCCGTGGTCTCTTAGCAGACTGTAACTCATCAGTGTTTTGCCTGTTGCGGAAGTGTCCTGTGAGGCTGTGGGAAGACATGCAACAACTTGAAGGTCTAGAAATTTGTCCTTGACAAAGACTAAAAAAAGTAAAAATTTGAGTCAGTCTACTAGTTTCTTATTTTAGACAGTACAATGTAAACTTGCTTAAACTTTGTCCAATTTTGCAGTTTCAATTTGCTTCTTTCTTCCTTTCTTTCTTTATTGGCAATGGCAACAGGTCAAGACACAGGTTTTCAAGGCAGTGTTAACTGGTATTAGATAGCCCACATATACAAACGTGGAGACAAACATGAAATAAGAAATCTACTATAAATACAAGACCTGAAATAAAGATAACATATCAACTGGTTACAAAGTACAGTACTATAATACATAATATAAGAAAATCAAGACATTCCCAACTAGCAGCAATATGTGCAAAGAGTGGAGATACTACATGTAATTGCGATGGATGGAAGGCTTTAGATAAAAGTTAAATATGAGCGCAAGTTTAAAAGAAGAATCATGACAAAAGGTGGTTTCTGCGGTGAGCCTTGAATTGACTGAGAGTGGGCTTCATGATGAACACACTGAGATGAACTTTCACCAAATGATTGCAGATCATTGACTTCATGCTAGGAGGCGCTTTTTACCTGTGCACATTGATTTTGAGTGGGTTGGACTGTAAGAAGCAGGACTTGTGGTAGCAGGCCTGCAGGTGCTCCGCCATCTCCCTGCCACCTGATGTGGTATAACCGCAGCCGCAGGATATGTTCACACCTGTCTCGCAGGTGTACATATTCACCTGTGGGAAAAACAACGGGTGATTATACCATAAAACTCCTTCCTCTGTAAGAGTTAGATTTCAGAGCCATGTTGTAGCAAACCTCAATTTTTTTCTGTCACCTCAATTTTGTTTCAAGTAACAGAGCTCGAAATACAGGGTGCATGTGCACCTTAGAGCACCCAAATTTGGAGCTGTGCACCCAATTTTTTTTTCTGTGGGTGTACTGGTGCACCCAAATGTTTTCATAGGTTTATTTATGTCGAGATGTTAAATGCATTAGTAGTACTGCATACAGTATATTCTTAACATCTAAGTGTCAGAAAAATAGTAAAATCATTCTTGTACTACTTTTCTTAAGAAATGAAACATAATTAGGTTTTGCTTCCATTCTATGTATTTCATTTTATTTTTTTTTACATATACCACAGTATGCATGGTGCACCAGTGAGATTTTTTGCACTCAAATTTTAGGTTGCCAAAACTGAATTTCGAGCCCTGAGTAACATCATGCACCAAAGGTCAACAATCCTAGGGGATTCAGGGACATGTACCCTCAGATAGATTTTTCAATCTTGACCATTTGAAACACTATTTTCTGCATTTTGAGGGGCGATTTTGGTTGACTAGATTTATGTTTAGCTTATTTTGGCATCTCTTTCTACATTTTTACACCAATATTTTTGACCAGATCATGGAGTTAAAAGACATGTTGGTAGCTCCATGACCAGATTGGGCAAATATTTTGTCATCAAACACACACATACACAGACACACACAGACAGACAGACACACACACGGAGAGCCAAACAGGCAGACACACACACACACATACACAAACACACAAACAGCCACAAAAATAGAGACACACAGACGCAGATGCATATGACAGACACAGACACACACTCAGACACACGACAATGCACTAGCAAATACATCTGGAGGTGACTACATGTACAACACAGGGCTCAAAATTCATTTATGGGAATAGGTGCACAAAACACTTTTTTGGTGCACCATATAAGATAAAATAAGTACAATGTCAGCAAAAACTAATTATGTTTCATTTCTAAAGAAAAGTAATAATAATCATGACTTTATAATTTACACTTAACACTTTAATGTTAAGAATATGCTGTATACTACTATACATTTAACATCTTTACATAGAACCTACAGAAAAATATTGGGTGCACAGCTCTAAATTTGGGTGCACTGAGATTAGCCTGGGTTCCAAACCCATAGCACACTGTACACAAAATATCTCAGTGAGCCTGGGTCTGGCCGTGAGAGTTAGGAAAGGCTCTCAGCCATGGGGAGGAGAAGTTGTGATTGATGACCCCTCACACCACAGGTAGCCTGTTACATGGCACCACCATTGGTCAGCAGGAGACAATCTTGGGCTCAACAGTTAATCATTAGCCAATTTTCTAGATGTATTTGGAGTTTATTTTCCAAAATAACTGCAGAACTTAGTTTAACAGTAGAAGCAGTGTACAACCCAGGATTTCCTGTCTCTTTAGGTAACAGTCCTCTAACACACAAGGACAAAATACACCTTATTTACAGTTTTATCTCATCTGCTGGTGAAGATTCAAAGATAAGCTGGGAGTTTTTAACCAATCATAGCAGAGGTGTAAAATTGCTTCCTGCTATGCCACCAATGGGGCCTTACGCTCAGATACTGAGCGTTGGACTGGCAGGTCTATCTGACCCTACCAGACCCATGCTCACTGAGATACTTTGTGTCCAGTGTGCATGCTATGTAGTGATGCATACCTAAACCCAATTTTAGGTTCAGGTCTGGATTAAAGTCCAGAGGTTTAGGTTCAGTTCCGGACTAGTAAGTCCGGAATATATGTATGTGCCATGGGTGGAATGTATATGCCATGGGTTTAGGTCCGGACTAGTAAGTCCGGACCTAAACCCATGGCATATACAAAATTGCATGTTGGCAACCTTGCAATGTTATCTGGGTGAAACTTTGGCCACATAACATGGAGGCCGGTACTTGACGATGCCCCATGGCAATGTTTTCTTCATTTTGCAGCAAAGATTTTGCAATCTACGGAAGGTTTTAGGTGGTTTGGAAAGAAAAGGGGGATGTGACATGGTCTTTTATGGTAATAAGTCCGGACTCGGTTCTTGACTTTTAGGTTTTTTTGGACTTGAACCTAAACATTCTTACAAGTCCGGATTGAAGTCCAGTGAACTGGTATGCATCACTAATGCTATGGGTTTGGAACCCAGGCTACACTAAGATGCATCATGTACCCAGTATTTTGAGCTCTGATATAATACAACTGAGACAGGATGTGACATGACTGTACCTGGAACATGTTTGCCGACACTACGCGCTGTCTACCGCCCGGGGCCTGGTGTCGACAGATCATGTGATCAGCATACGCTCGGGAACAGCAAGTGCTGTACCGACACTTGGAACAGCTCACGTACTGCAGACAGGGAAAATGTGGGAACAGTTAGTGACATAAAGTTCTGATTAGGAGCATCCTCTTAGATGGGATGTAAAGCCAGGGTTTCTTTACTGTATTTCTTTATTAGACTTCACCGTAACAAGATGGAGGGGGAGACAAAGTCAAGTGATGATTACTTCTTCACCTTGTCTCCCCCACAGACATACAGATAAACATATTCACAATATTTACATAAAAACATACAAAATATAATGCAAAGAAGATATGATGAATATAATTCAATATACAATATCAGAGCAGATTAACATGGCCTTGTGGCAACACATGTAAAGCAGTTAAAGAATGAAGTTCATTGCAAGGAGTGTCAACATTGTGAATCTCACTGAATCTGTTGTGAAAGTGATTCAACAACTGCCGTTTAAACACAAGCAAGTGTTGAGGCTGGGAAACAGTAAGGCCTAGTGTAGAACTTCCTCCTAAGAGGAAGTTCAGGGCTGGAAATACTGAGTGCATGTGCACCTTAGTGCAGCCAAAATTAGAGTTGTGCACCTAACTTTTTTCTGTGGGTGCGCTGGTGCACACAAATATTTTTGTAGGAATTTTCAACATTAGAAGACTACTATACCGGATATTCTTGGTCTCTAAGTATCAGAAAAATAGTAACATCTTTGTTGTAGTATTGTTTCAGATTTTAAAGTTAGCTCTCATTTTAGATTCAAGCTCAGAAGAGGAGCAATAAGACCTGCAATTAGGTTTTGTTTCATATGGTGCACCCAAAAAATTTTTGTGCACCTAATTTTTTAGGTTGGGTGCACCAGTGCACCTATAATCCCAAAACTGAATTTGGAGCCCTGAAGTTAATGTACTCTATGATTAAAAACATATACTAACCTTCATGTAATGTGAGCCTAGGTCCTGTATGGTGGCCCCACACTCCAGACAGGTGTGTGTGCGGTTGTCCTGTACAGGTCGGCAGGTCAGGTTCAGGCTACGTTTGATTCCTCGGGGCATACCGGCCACTCCGTACTCCGTCACACCGCCACTACTGCTCGCAACAACGGACGGGTCCTGAAGGAATGACAATGACAATAAGAATCATTATGATGTTTATTTGCACATTCATGCCCGTGAGGGCTAAGCGTAGTACATGTAGTTTCACGTGAGTCGTACAGACACTAAAATTCTACAGAGGTGCTACACTACATCAGTTGCATACAGAGGGATGAACATACATGTACATGTACTAAGTTAAACATAGAATATATTCAACATACAATGTAGAAAGAAAGACAAATTGAGTTAAGCCCCTGTCTGAGGAAATGTAGAAATGGAGTTAAATTTGAGTTAAATTTTAGTGAAATTTGACCTTCCTGTCCCAACCCCCTCCAGTAAAGCCTGTCACACATGTAGAACCTGAGACTATTCTTACTAGACTGGCCATGCCTACTTTTCTGTAGAAATGGAATCAAATTTGAGTTAAATTTTAGTCAAATTTGACCTTCCTGTCCCAACCCCCTCCAGTAAAGCCTGGCACACAATTGTAGAACCTGTCTGAGACTATTCTTACTAGACTAAGGCCATGCCTACTTTTTTATCTGAAATGGATTTAAATTTGATTTAAATTTCAGTCAAATTTACCTTCCCATCTCAACCCCCTCCAGTAAAGCCCCTGTCACACATTCAGAACTGGTCTGAGAGTCCAGTCTAACTAGATTTAGGCCATGCCAACTTTTTATATGAAACACATCAAATTTGAGTAAAATTTGAGTAAATCCACACTTCGTAAAAATCTACTTCTCTGGCCGGTTACTTGCAAACATGCATGCACACAGTGTAATGAAACATACTAGTTAATAAAAATAGAGCACTTAGCTAGTCTAGTATTATTTAAAGTCTGCAAAACATTGTATTTTCCCCAATACCTGTGTTTTGTTGCCCTTCTTCAGAAACTTGAAGTTGAGTTTAGCGTTCTCTCGGTGATATTTGACGATGTGTGAACCGGCGAACGACACGTGGTCGTGTTTCCTGTGCTGCTGCAGCTCCGATGTGGAGTGAAACTGGAGCCGACAAGACTTACACTTCTTCTTGTCACTCTTCCGGAAGTGTTTCAGGCAGTGGACGTCAAACGCACGGCACTGGACTATTATCTGTGGAACAAAAATACTAGTGTACAAAATACTTTGGAACCAGGTTATAACAAGCATAAGCTACGCCTGATCTCTTATTGTATAGAATGTTTTATTTGATTTTGTATAAGTTATTTTGTCTCTGCTGCTACCTTTCAGTTATTTAAAATTAAATGGCTGATCAATTTGTTATATTCATCTTTTCCTTGGATTGGAATTATGATCAGTAAGACATTATGTTCTATTCAGTTCTTTAAGTTATTTATACCTTTGTTAATTTTGTTGGCACCTTTGTTGTTACGTACAACTCTGGATTATGTTCAGATTATTTTGTGCTTTTTTTTAGGTCGACCTCTGACCTCTCCTATTGATTTTGAACTTACTTTATTATTTTGTAATCATCATTATGTACAAGTTTTGTTACTTATGTTTCATTTTATTGACCCCAGGAAGAATAGTGCTTTTAAGCACTAAAGTAATGGGGATCGAAATAAACAAACAAACAAAAACAAACAAGGTCTCCCAGTGGGAAGCATGCTAGAGTGTCTCCAAAAAATTTAGTTTTAAAAGGCAGCACAAGCTTAATTCCTCAGTCATCATGATTGACACCAACTTCAAGTGACTATATTGTAATAACAGTATGTACACTTCCGATATTGTATGTATTTTACATACTTTTTTTGGGGTGTCATTTCTTCTTTAGGCCACACCAATTTAATTTCTTGCTGCTCGGATTTTTTCAGGAAAAATATGAAGAGACGGGGTGAAATAAAAAAAAAACAGGCCAAGGCACCCCATGATAGCCGGAAATGTTACAATATGAGCCACAAAGTCAACATACCAGGCTGGTTTATAATTAAAACATTAGAGGAGCCATGAAGGGGACCCCCAGTACGAGCCTCCTACGAGAGCTCGAATGGGACAGCCTGTCTACTAGGAGACACTACCACTCCATGGTGTTAATGTACAAGATGACGCATGGTCTAGTCCCAGTGCACCTGCAGTCACTCATCCCCTCCACTAGAGGCGAACGGACTCGTCTACAGCTACGCAACACTACACATCTTCATGTTCCCCGCTGTAGAACGAAGGTGTACCGGTCCAGTTTTATTCCACATGCTTCTGCCCTTTGGAACCACCCTCCACAGGCACTGAAGGAAGCCAGCAGCCTAAACGACTTCAAGAGAAAGTGCAAGGATTACCTGTTCACTCCGAGACATAACCAGCCGTACAGACGTCTAGGTACTCGGTACTACAACATCCTAACTGCAAGACTAAGACTGGACTGGAGCCCACTAAATGCCACCTTGCACTTGATGAATATCAAAGACAAAATGTGCTCCTGTGGTACCTCTTCTGAGACTGTTTCCCATTATTTGCTACGCTGTCCTCTTTACAGCTGCCAGCGTCACATTTTAACCTCCACAGTAGAGCAACTCACATCACACCGTCTAACCGAATCTGTTCTACTACAGGGGCTACCAGGCTGTAACATGCACACAAACAAACAACTATTTGAGGCATTTGAAACATTAACTTCCACCACAAAACGTTTAGATGGCCCTTCCCGTGGTATCACATAAGTTAACCTTTTACAATCTTACGTCATACATGTATATATTTCCTCACATACTGTATTATATCCAATTGCCCTTGACCTCTGACCTCCAAAACATTAATTGCTATTATTATCTTGATTGAGTACTTTATTATGCTTGGTTGTATTTTATATTGATAACTGATTGATTTTAGCTTAATCTTTACTTGTTAGTTCACTGTATTAGTATGTTATTGTGTATGTTTAATCTTTGTATTGTCTGGCGCCCGAAATCAGCTATGCTGCCTGGGTGGCCAGTGTATTGTATCGTCGCAATCGAATTAAATAAAAATAAATAAAAAAATAAAAACATTAGATTTGAACTTTTAATGAAACAAAGTTGTATTGTTACATTGAAAAAAAATTGGAAAGAAAAGGACTTTCTTTAACCATTGGGCCAATATATGTCTTTCAGTAAGCATTTTGCAGTTGATTCAGAACCTGAAATCTTTTTTTTTCTTTTTCCAGATCAGAAAAATATGGACAGGGCGAATCCAAGAAGCATCAAATTAAATTGGTGTGTGTGGCTTTAAGTAAAAAGTGACTCCCACAGTGACTCATCTTCAAGCAGAATGTACAGAGCAGGTTCTTAGGTCCAGTCATGTACTTAGCTGTAAGAGCGTAAATGTACAATGAAGGCCTTTTATTTTTATCAATAAGTGTGGTCTGTGTGGTGTAGTGGATAGAGCGTCCGACTGTCAAGCAAGGAGACCCAGGTTCAATCCCCAGGGTTGGACCCAGACATGTCCGGACATGCACCCAGACGTTGTGCCCTTGGGAAAGGAACTTAACACGCATTTCCCCCCCTCAGTTAGAGGGATCCTGGACCCTTAGAGGGTTTTGTTGGTGTAAGGAAGAGCATCCAGCCGTAAAAATCTTGTTTCAAAAAAGACTTGTACTTAGTGCAAGCATGTCTAACCCCCAGGTTGGGGAAAATGATGTTAAATTCGGTTTAAAAAATTAAGTAAAAAGTGACTCCCACAGTGATTCACCTTCAGACAGAATGTACAGAGCAGGTTCTTGGTCCCGTCGTGGGTACTGCGGAAGTGTGACTCCACGTCAGACAGGATAGAAGATCTGAACCCACACAGTTTACAGGAGTACGGCATCTCACATGGCTGGTGCTCCTGTAACATGTGACTCTGCAGGGCCTTCTCTGACTTAAACGAGATCTCACAGATCTTGCAGAATGCTGGAACAAAACAAAACAAGTACGTACATGGCATAATAATAAACGGTAAATTACGCTGGATCTTGATTATGTTGTAAAAAAAACTTTGATATTTGAGTGCATGTATAGCAGTGTATTTGGTTGAATACTGCAAATTGGGGTTATGTTCACTATGTAGTCTTGCCACAGTTTTAATTAACTTTTATTTGGAATCATTATATTTTGGAATCATCAAATAAAATAATGTTTAAAAGGGCTAAATGTTGAATACTAGATACATGTGCAAGAGAGACAGTAAAACATGTATTTTATACATAATTGATAATTGGACAGCCAATATGATGAAGTTTTTGGCAGAAAAATACATCAATTTGCTAGACTAAGTATGCATACATCATTTACATGTAACACTAAAAACACTAAAAAAATTTACTTTTAAAATTTATTCATGCAATTTGATGCAACATATTTATGTAATATGCAAGTACAACCTTTCAGATAAACGTAACTGTACAGTATGTTTTTAAAATTTTTACCAAACAAATAATGACTTACTGTCAGGGTTTGCAGTATTGTGCATAGTCTCTAGGTGGCACTGCAGTTGAAATGGGGTCTCAAACCTCTTGAAACACCGTTGGCAGCTCTAGGTAAAAAAAACCACACTTCAAGTTAACTTTATGTAGATGACTCAACTTGTTTGGTTGAGTTTATGCTAACACACAACATGAGGCACAAAAATAACAGAAAATTAAAAGGACACAAAGTTTTTAAAAAAGGTTTGGAATGGAATCTTGACCATTCTTATATTGTGTTAACCTTCTAAAACTTCGACCCAGGGAAAAAAAGGTTATGTTTCCTGTGTCACTCAATGAAAAAAATTGGGGTTGGTAGGTGTTTTCTTTTTTATAGACTTGAGCAATTTCTATTGATCCAACTCAAAACTTGCATGAGGACATTTAATAATATTTCCAATCATGATGTCAATGATGGAAAAGTGATTGGCCAATGTTTCATCACTCAGGTGTCAGATCAATGTAGAAAAGGTTGATGTCTATAGTCTATAGTATAGGGTTGGCAGTTTTTTCTAGGGTCGGTAGGAACACAACACCACAATGAACATGCAATGTTTTCCTAGGCCTTATTAGAAAATGACGGCATCAACTGATGTTGAATTTTTATGTAAAATTAATATAGAACTCACGGTAACATCGCTGATATCTGGGTTCTGCTGGCGTTCGTGCTCGATGTGATGACGGATGTGGTTCATGTACTTGATGTTGGACTTCAGTACTTTACTGCAGGTGTAGCATTTAAACACACACGAACCTGGGGTGGGGGGAGGGGAAATATGTCACTGACTGTATAACAAATTGCCAGGGCTCGAAATACTAGGTGCATGAGCACCTTAGTACACCCAAATTTGGAGCTGTGCACCCATTTCTTTCTGTGGGTGCACCCAGATATTTTTGTAGGTATTTTCGTACATATTAAATGGATACAGGCATTTACATGTATTCTCCGTATCTAAGTGTGAGAAAAATAATAATTTAAATATTTGTTTAAGATTTTGAAGTTAGCTTCCATTTCAGATTGAAGCTCAGAACAGAAGAAGTACGATCTACTCTGATGTCCCGATTAAACGTACCGGTACGTTTATTTTTTTCGGCCCGAACGTCCACCCGGTACATTCTTATTAGGGACGGTACGTTTATTAATTTTTGGGAAAAACATTGTCCATACGTACCGCACCATCAGCAAGTGGCCGGCGGCCGCAAAATTCGGCAACACGTCACAGATAAATATTTGGTCCATGATAGCGGCATTTCCCATGAATATAATGTATATTATTTATTTTTCGCCTGCTGTCCATTTTTAAGTCCCAAAACGTCTGAAAAAGCACAAATTTGCCCACAAAACCGAAGGGGAAGGCGAGTAACTAATCGACGTATTTAGCACATGGCGGCCGCAAGTCCTTGTCAAAATCGGCAACGCGGCAGAAAAATGCCTGGTCCATTTTAGCGATATTTACCATGAAAAAAACGTATGTGGTTTATTTTCCCTCTGGTGTTAGTTTTTAGGTCCCGAAACCCCTAAAAAAGTAGAAATTTGCCCACAAGACGGACGGCCGACGTGGGGAGGGCGCCTAGCGCCTGAGCAGCATGACCCGTAAAAAGTCAAAGGTCATAGGGCACCCGTATTGCGCAATCACCGTAAAAGCGCCGATTTAGCTAATTTTAGGGCGTTTAAAATTGATACAATCACATTATCGATTTAAAAAAAAACAATGAGATGGAAACCAATCAAAATTTATGCTGAATAATATTTTTTTTCTTCAAAAGTTTTTTTCTTCAGAAGTTTTTCTTCTTCAGAATCCAGACTTTGACCAGACTAGACAATGTACCAAATAATTATTATGTTGAAATGGATTTTGTTGTACATATACTCATTAAACCCCTATATTTGTACTTAATTGGGCTTGATTTTCTATCTCTTAAGTTAGTCAGATTTTCAACTCAAGTTGCAGGAGAAGGCTACAAAGTGCATTTCAGAAGTGTAAAATGCAATAGCTTCTCCTACGGATTTTGTATTTCCCCAAAACAAGTACAATATATATATTCTCATTAATTAAAGTGATATATACTCACTAATTAAATGTAACAGTGAAAGATTTGCCCATATATTGGTATTGAAATAAAGAGCACATTTTAGTATCATGGACACACAGTTCACCTGTCAATTTGGTCATTTTCCGGGGGGTACGTTTATTCCGGAGGGTATGTTTATTAGACTTTGAAGATTTGTCCGGGGGGTATGTTTATTCCGGGGGGTATGTTTATTAGGGACATGAGAGTACATGAGATTTATTTTTTTTTATATGGTGCACCCAAAAAATTTTTGTGCACCAAATTTTTTTGGTTGGTTGCACCAGTGCACCTATTCCTAAGAATGAATTTCGAGCCCTGGATTGCTCATGGAAAAACAGCTTCCATCATGTGGGTAGGATAGCTGAATTAGAATCTAAAGGTTCCTGATTTCCATCTCTGACAGGACCACATGTCCTTCAAAAAGGCAATCAACAAAACTTTCCTCACATCTAGTAAGAATGAGTTTTGGTTAGGGTCGATAGCATCCTGTAAATCACTTTATTTGCTGTACAAAAGTTCATGGCCTTACAAAATTTGACATGTTCAGGAAACTACATGTAAATGTTCGTGGTGGGGGCAGGAGCACAAAAAAGATTAGCTGTAATGATAGATTCACAGTAAAAGTGACCGGGAAAACCACAAATTTGAATTAAATTTAAAGTACTGTGAATGTAAAGTGACTACTGTAACAGTAGAATACATGTACCATTTCAGAATCTGGAGCTTTGTATTTCCAACGTTAAGTCTGTACTCAACAGGACAGGTGTACAATTTCTTACCTTTATCTTCTGTACTGTCTGAAGGAAGCACACCCTCCTTCTTGCCATAGTAGTATTCTTCTATGGACATCTGGATCTGGATGGACTTGTACTGGGGAGGTGTTCTGTTGGGAGGGGAGGGTGTTGATGTTGGTTTGGACGTGGACTGTGGAGAGATGGCACTCAGAGACACAGGTTGGCTGGGCCTGGAGGGGAAAAACATGGAGATTACTGAATAGCAAAGTTCTTTGATCACAACCATTTATTTTTCACTAGCTGACGTTTCAATGACCGTCTGTCATCTTCATCAGGGCAATTCTGACTGGTTTACTGTGCACTGACGCTAGATGTTACTTGGTGCATTATTAAGTGCACTAAAGGTGTTACATGGTTCATAGTGCACTGTTACTTGGTTCACTTATGGTAGTTTTTACTGTTAACAACTAGTAACATCTAGCGTCAGTGCACAGTAAACCGGTCAGAATTGCCCTTGTGAAGATGACAGACGGTCATTGAAACGTCGGCTTGTGAAAAATAAATGGTTGTGATCAAAGAATTTTGCTATTCATTCGTTTAAAAACCTGATGAAATTATTTACGGATGAAGATTACTGTCTGAAAGTAAATATAACCACCAACACTTTCAGACAACTGTGATCCACTGAAATCTGGAGCCATTTAACTCTAAGCCAAGAGAAAGTTTTAACGCCATCCAATGCAATTTCAGGGCAAAACAAAACAAAGATATTCTGGATTAGGAAAGTTGTCTGATATTGACATTTAACTGTCATTTCTTTGCACATTTTCTTCAACTTTCATACTTTTTGAAATTTTGAAATCTCCCAAGAAACAAGCTGAGTTGACCATCTATTTTTGGGTACCACCCATAACTAGCAAGAACCAGCCTGTGATACAAAACAAGCAACCATTTTCTGTCACAACATTCAAGTTTTTTTAATCTTAAAGATTGTAAAAGATAGGGTTAATACATGCAATTCATTCAAATTCAGTAAATGTACTACTGTAACAAGAAAATTGACTTTAAAAATCCAATCTTGCTATCCTGAAATTGCTTTGAAAAATTAAATTTAAGACCTTATTAAATAATAGGATTCCGTATCTTAATGACAATCAGTCAAATAGGACCTCAAGATTCTCTGTCACCATAGAGACCAAGATTTAGTAAGGTAAATTTAGCCCACTTAACCACAGTCACCAATCTTTAACCTAGAGTCCGTAGAACACAAACCTCCATGTAGTTGTACCAGAGTTTGCTGAGTGGATGAAGGTGTATCTTCCCTTTTTAGAAATCTCACAAAAGCTGTTGACAATTTCAAGTATCGCATTTAATTTAACAGTAATTGTAACAGTTATTACTATTAGTAATGCTGTTGGGTGATATATATAGAATACAACACGGGGTATTCCGTATCGCCCGAGGTACCAGCCCGACCGCGCGTCGGATCGCCCGACGGCCGAAGGCCGGAGGGAGATCCGATCCGCGGGAAGGCTGGGACCGAGGGTGGTGCGGAATACACCGTGTTGTATTTTATTTATGTCATACCCACCCAAGAAAACGCGTCTTTCAATGCGAAATGAGCAAAAATTTGGTGTCCCTAAACCCAAAAAATGTGACAACATTAATTCCAACGTCCGGATTTTGTATTCGAATTTCCAAATCGGTGCAAGCAGTTAGGCCGAAACGCGTTCGAATCGTTCCACGGAACATTTGGAAGCCCCGGGTAGTACGCGTAAAGAACCCCCGGGCCGTACCGCTAGTTATCACACGGGCCGGAACACCCGTATCGAACGTAATCGCGGCCCAGGTAGGACATAACAGGATATACAAAATTGATTAACAGTGGACAGCTATTGTGATATACGTAACAAATACCAGCCTAAGTACATTGATATAAAACAGAAATATTAACATTATCAGCTAAAAAAGGGTTAGTATTTCTGTGAATCTGATGTCTATGTGCACATGTACCTGTACCTAACCAGCACCAGTCCATGTATACATGTACGGGTTATTATGGGTTCACCACAAAGTGGTGAAACCATATTGCTTTTTCTCATGATTCTCCTCCTCCTTCTTCTTCTCCTCCTGCCATTTCTTTAAATGGATTCAGCTTCTTCATTTTAGGGCCTAAGGTCCTGAAATTTGGTATGGAGGTACAGTGGGCAAATACCCCTAGGCGTTTTTTAAATTTTTGTGATACAAGCTTTTACAATCGTTTTATTTGCTTTTTTAGCGGTCCCCATAGGAAAGTACTGTGCGGGGGCGTACGCGCGTGACGTAATAAGAAAGAAATTCGGCGGCATGCCCATATATGGGCATGCAAGCATGAACCTGACGCAGCCTAATCTTTTCTTCTTGCTGATTGGCTGTTGGATTTGATTAGGATTAACTCAATTAACACCTGTTCAAAGCCATTCCATTTTGACAGTATGAACTCAAGTGTTTTGGTAGGTACAGCACAGGCCACGAAATACGCATCAATTTTCGAGGGACGTTCTGCGGGAGAGTGCAGGACGCTGTGCGGGACTTCCCTCGGGAGAGTGCGGGACGTCCTCCGGGAGAGTGCGATACGTTCTGCGGGAGAGTGCGGTACGTCCAGCGGGAGAGTGCGGTACGTTCTGCGGGAGCCAGACATTATGCTCTTCTCTGTTGGAACACGCAAGTTGAGGTCAATGACCTGCGCCCGGCCTGTAAACAAGATTGGACAGGGAGCGGCTGTAATATCAAAGGAGCCGGCGGCTTCTGCTAGCCGGGTTGATAGTTAAGTAACATCAAGGTGGTTCAAAAGCAAACCTGATAAAGAAGGAAACCCCGTAGTTAATAGTTGAAAGTCTTGGTGGCTTGAGGCGATCGATACCGCCATGCTGTTTACTTTTTATGACATACAATGCAGTGAGTGATGTGTATCGCACCGAGTTAGCTCGGTTGGAAACGCGCAAGGCGGCAATCCCAGGCATTGCAAGTTCGAACCCCAGTGCATCGGACATAAATATTTTTTAGCAATTTAACATTTTTAACAATTTTATAATTTTTAACAATTTTATCAGTTTTAACGATTTTAACAATTCTGCATTTTAACAATTTCAACTATTTTTTATTTTCGTTGTTTTGCTTTTAACATTCAAAAACTGATTGTTCTTAGTATCTTACTCAAGAATGTCAATAACTTGGAATGTTAGTCTTTTGTATTTTTCCAACATACAAACTAAAATCACTTTGATGTTGTCACAAAAGTATTGAGCTGACAAGAGAGAAGGAGTACGGTACTCTGCCAGTGTGAAGAATCTACAGAGGTATTACCAGTCACTAGTAGCAAGAGATAGACCACATTGAATGATGACGATGAGGACGAATCATATGAAGTACTATCATAGCTAGTACAGAAATTCTACTGCTTTACTTTACTTTCTTTCACTCTGTACATGCAATTAGCTCACTGGCATGATTTTAAAAATAAAGGTTATGATAATCATATTATATGTATAGCTTATTCAATGTATGGCTTCATAGTTTATGTGATTGTTAATAACACCTGCACAGAGCATTTCCATACTGACAGTATATGTCTTTATTCAAGTGTTTTGGTAGGTATTTCAAGCTTTTCTGCTCCAGCATTGGAATGCGGGGCATGAACGTTTTTTTTTTATTTTGAAAATCAACAGTTTGCATTATGCAATTAAAAATCCTAACCAATAAAGTAGGGAATAGCTATCCAACTGTTGTTTTAGTTGTATGTTACTTCATATTATAGTTATATCAATGTAAATCATTGTTTTCCCTTGTGTTTCTCATTCTTTCCCTGCCATGTCGTAAAATGTGGTGAACCCATCGCTGTATTTGCTCCAAAGCAAATATTGGCCTTTCTAGTTCTTTGCTGCATTATATGTTACCGCCCATGTGAAGTACAATGTGTAAATTAAAGAAATAATGGCAATGGTTTCCTGACAGATTTTTGTAATTCCAAATACTTCCTACTTTCTGAGTGGTGCAGGTAAAACTTGTCTGGTGCAGGCAATTTTCAATGTTGTATGCACTAGACTAAGTGCAGGTACTGTAAACCACTTTCTATTTGCAGTACTTCTCCACCCTGAATTTATCATTACACGAACAAATACATGTAATTCACCGACTTTCTTTCTTCAGTCTGCACCTGCAGCCACCATAATGCTGTGTACCTTAACCTACATTTAGGTTCAGGTCAGGATTCAAGTCCAGAGGTTTAGGTTCAGTTCCATATACAAAATTGCATGTTGACAACCTTGCAATGTTGTCTGGGCAAAACTGTGCCCACATAAGAGGGAGGCCAACACTTGACGATACCAGATGGTAATGCCTTTTTTTCCTTTTGTAGCACAAAGTTTGCAATCTATGGAAGGTTTTTTTTTGTAGTCAGTCCGGATCCAGAAATCAGTTCTTGACTTAAAGGTTTTTTGGACCCAAAACCTAAACATTTTTACAAGTCCGGAACCCATCCAATGAGCAGGTACACAGCACTAAGCCACCATTAACATATAGTTCTGTGAACATGTCAATTTTTCTCACACTGCGAAATTTTGATACTGCGAAATTCTACGTGGTCATGAGGGTTGAGCAAATGGCACAGAATATGGTTTGGCGAATAATCTAGTCTTCAAGTTCATTTCTTTACAATTTCGTCTTTTTTCGTAATATAATAAAGTGCTTTACATTGAGCAGAAAAAAGGATTTCGAGCACTGGTACAGAAGTCAGACTTACGCTGCGGTGACAGTCGGGCTGTTCTTCTTGCATTTCTGTCGATGAGCGGTGAGCGAGGCCAGGGAGAAGAACTTGGTGTTACACAGTGGACAGGTGTACGTCAGGGACGACACTTCTGCAATATTGGAATTTAGAAAAACAAATTCTTAGCAGTCAAAATACATTGTCAGAATAACGTGAATCATAATGGCAGAATTTTGATGTATTTTGCTAACAGTCTGAGTGAGTGAGTGAGTGAGTGAGTGAGTGAGTGAGGTGGTGAGTTTCTGAGTGAGTGTAAGTGACCTAGTGAGTTACCGAGTGAGTGTGAGAGTGTGCACGAGTGTGTTCATGAGTAACTGAGTAAGTTACCGAGTGTGTGAGTTACTGAATGAGTTAGTGAGTTACTGAGTAAGGCCATGTTGATTTGATTATATGGATGACATCCTCTGGGAGCCCCAAAACTGATGCGCGCATGCGAATAAAAAAAAAGTTTTGCAAAAAAAAAAGTTGTTTTCATTATGAAATCTACCTGGTCATGAGGGCTGAACAAATGGGACAGAATATGGTTTGGCGAATAATCTAATCTTCAAGTTCATTTCCTTACAATTTCGTCTTTTTTGGTTTGATTTTGGCATTCTACGACATTGGTATAGTTTTTACTTATTTTCTTGTAACTTACCGTATATTTTTGCTCATTTTACAACTGTTTTGTACGATTTACAGTATGGTTGAAAACTTTTCTTTTTTTTTTGGAAACGGCCGAAAATTAATGCGCGCGCGCGGATGTTATCCATATAATCAAATCAACATGGCCTAAGTGTGAGTGTGTGAGTTATTGAATGAGTTAGTGACTGAGTTAATGAGTGATTGAGTTAATGACTGAGTTGCTGAGTGTGAGTGTGTGAGATACTGAATGAGTTAGTGAGTGACTGAGTTAGTGAGTTACCAAGTGAGTGTGTGAGTTACTGAATGAGTTAGCGATTGAGTTAGTGAGTTACTGAGTGTGAGTGTTTGACTTGAGTTACTAAATGAGTGACTGAGTTCATGAGTGAGTTACCGAGTGAGTGTGAGTTACTGAATACATTGTACTTTTAATTATTAATTACTGAATGAGTGATTGTGAGTGAGTGAGTGAGTGAGTGAGTGAGTGAGTGAGTGAGTGAGTGAGTGAGTGAGTGAGTGAGTGAGTGAGTACATGTTAGTGGTTGTAGGATGTAAAGAGAAAACACAGTAGACTTACTGGTAGCTGATGTAGAGGCGTTGACTATAGCCATGGGACTGGGACTCTGCAGTGCCTGGTGTACAGCTACAGTTACAGGGCGGGGCAGTAGGGGAACCTACATGTACACAATACAGTCAACAGCATGTTAGGCCACACCAATTTAATTTCTTGTTTAATGAATTCGCTTAATTTTTTTTCTGATTTGCAAAAAAAAAATTCAGAATCAACTGCAAAATGCTCATATTTTTCCCTGAAAAGTTGAAAACAGTCCTTTTCTTCCTAGTTGTTACAGTAAAGTTATTCCATCTTTCAATGCAAGGGTATCATTAACAGTTCAAAATTCATTGTTTAAATTTTGAACCAGCCTGGTGTATTGACTTCATGGCTCCTATTGTACCATTTTGGGCCATAATAGGATGCCTAAGCCTGTTTTTACTTTTATTTTTTTTTGCCCGCCCGCTCCAATATTTTTCTAGAAAAATCCGTTAACCAAGAAACTAAATTGGTGTGGCCTTAGGGTTGGTAATGTACAATCTATCTTCATCAAATTCTAATACATATAATTGTAATTAAAAGTTGACCATTTACTGGATAGATTTACATGATCGTAGTATTATATTACATTATCCTTCATCTTTCATCAGTGAATAACTTTTACCAATACTTAGGCCACACCAATTTAGTTTGTTGTTTAAAGTTACAGGGCAAAATAAAGAAAAGAAACAGGCCAAGGCACACAATGAAGGCCGGAAATGTTACGATATGAGCCATGAAATCAACATACCAGGCTGGTTTATAATTTTAAAAAAATAGTTTTAAACTTTTAATGAATCAAAGTTGCATTCTTACATTGAAAAACGTACACAACTAGGAAGAAAAGGACTTTATTCAAACTTTGGGGCCAAATATGCCTTTAATTGCGCATTTTGCAGTTGATTCAGAAACTAAAATCTTTTCCTTTTTGGCAATCCAAGAAACAACAGGTTACATTGGTATGGCCTTACAGTGCTACAAATTTACTAAACCTATGAAGTTAAACAATCTACTTATAAGTTGATAACATAATCAGATGTTTCAATGCGATTCAATATTTGGCTTCCAACTTTCTCTTCTAGCACCATGATTTAACTCATGAGTTATGAAATGTTGCAGTCAGTCTTCGATAACTGACATGAAAACTGTAAGTGTCCTCATGCAAGTTTTACTTTGCTAAACTGTATTGTGTACTGTATTAACTGTATCATCAGAAATCGCCAAAGTCTTTAAAAAAGACAAAGGAACAAAGAAGATCCCTACTAGTACATACCAACCCTAATTTTTTCAGGACTGAAACAGGAAACACGTTTTTTTTCCTAGACTTAATCAAACAAACAAACAAACAAACAAACAAACAGAGTACTGAGTAGCTTAAAAAACCCTTACTTGACTAGTGCTGACAGTAGCAGGCTGGACAGTAGGAGATGGTTGGACCTGTGTTACAGTTGTGGTGTTGCTGGTGACAGAACTGCTCTCGGTACATTTCACATACATGACAGTCTTGTCCTGCATGATCTTAGCCACAACTCTGGGAGGAGGGAGGCCTTTCTTCCTCCTGCTGGGGACTGTGGAGACTACCGAGCCACTGGGCATGGCACTAGTGGAAGTCTGGAAGGAAAATAGGAGGGATTATATCATACCCGGGCCGCGATAACGTTCGATAACAGGTTCCGGACCGGGCCGTACTTTACGGTACGGCCCGGAACCCGTTATCGAACGCTTCCATGGCTTCCATAAAACGATTCAAATGCATTTCGCCCTACCCGCTTGTGCCCCTTTCGAAAATTCGAATACAGAATCCGGACGTTGGAATAGATGTTGTTGCATTTTAGCGTTTAGTGGCACCAACTTTTGGGTCATCTTGCATTGAAAGGCACATTTCCTCGGTCCCGGCCCTCCCGCAGTCGGGCCGGGACCTGCGATACCTCGGGCGATACGGAATACCCCGTGTTGTATTCTATATTTACAAAATATGTATAACTGTTATTGCGCATATATATATATACAGTGTACAAAATACTTTTTTGAACCACGGCAAAAATTAGGTTGCCGATCAAAATTTTAGGTTGCCCCACTTGTAAGTTACTACTTTCCTCAAATTAAGTAATGTTACATACATAAGCCTTTGAATATATTTCTAACAGCATTTAGTTAACTGATACTAGTAATAGCCATTAATACCTAAAATTAAAAAGCATCTGCCGGATACAGTGGTGCAACCCAAGTGGGCATGATTTTT